ACATACATATATAGATCCAGTGGGTGTTGAGTGAACTGTTGTTGTCACTGCAAGTTGTAGTAGTAGATAAGAACACAGCAAACGGTGTCCAAGGCGTACCTTGTCTCATTTTTGTTTCATTTAGTTGCTTAATGTAACAGGAGCTATGTGGCAGTCCATCATTTGAACACCTTTAATGTGAAGGAAGTGTAGAAGTAGAAGTGTAGTAGAGCTCAGCAGCAAAAAATACAAATGCCTCACATGATTGTCATTCTCAAAAACAGAAAGAAATAACTAAATGAGCATCAGTCATGTTTCTGCATTTCTGCTAAATAGTGAAATCACTGCTGTTTCTATGCTAATATGGAATTTATGGCTCGCTCATGAATGACATTTTCATATTGTCGGAAATAATGTCAAAATAGCGTCAGAAATGACATGCTGTATGTTCAAGGTTTGGTTAGGATCATGTCTGATGGGAGACAGGTGGTAACGGGCAGCGGACTTACTCAGACACTTTGTACACCTAAACATCAAGCCCGACCTCCGGCCTAAGAGGTTTTGCAGCACTATAACAACATCACGTTGCCTGTGTACCTGACAGTCAACAGTCATTTCCATGCAGCCCAAAGAGGTTGCATGTCAAGAAAGCATAAACAAACAACTGATCCATCTTGTCTTTGGCTAAGCACCACCTTCCTTAGCCAAGAGGCAGGCATTTATTTCTGGCTTTTCCAAACAGTTTTTGATGCACCAACTGAACATCATTTATTCATATTAATCATGCTAGTATTACACTTTGAGAATATGGAGCCACTATCCAGTGTAATCGAGATACAGTGTTACTGTAATGAATGCAGGTAGTGTTCAGTGTACCATCTGATAACAAAACTTTGAATCCTTGCCTGCTAATGTAATAATATAAACAGACATGCTATTTATTTTAATAGATACCTTCCTTATTTGCAGAATTTTGTTGAGCCTTTATAAAAGCCTGACCGTGGGATGTATACATGATCTACCTATCTTTCATGCTTTTCATGCTGTATTTTAACTCCAACTTGTCTTAAAATGCCTGATGCAGATTTCCATTTCAAAGCGGTCTGATGTAAAACATCACATTTGTGAACTGTCAAAGCCACTGTCACAGACTAAAAACACAACAATAGACTTACTCTCTCTTTCTGAAGGCTTCCCTGTACGACAGCTTCTACATATATGTGACTTCAAACACACCTGGAGTGAGGCACATTCTACGTGTGTGTGTGTGTGTGTGTGTGTGTGTTTACACATAGGGCTTTAAAATGTCACATGAAACTAGCAGATGTTCATGAGAAGTCTCAGCTTTGACAAGCTTAAAAGACTGAAGTGTTGTGTTTGAGTAATTGTGTGTGTGCCATGTCTGAAGTTCAAAGTCCATTTTTTCTGCCATCTGTATGTACTTTGAGGGAGGGAGGACTATCAGCTGCCAGCGGCTATGATGAAATCTGTATTCTTTTTCTCTTTCTATCGCTCTCTCAAAGATTAACGGTGGATTAAAATATTTGTACTGCGAAGTGAGATCTAGTTCAGGAGTTCACTGGAAGGATGTGGCCTATGAAGGTGTTCCTCAGACATCTGAGACCCATGCTGAACCTGCTGCTAATTCCTAAATATGATTAACACTGAGGGTGTGTTTAGTGCAAGAAATCCTCAGCCTAAACCACAAAATAGTTCTAATGGCATTGCCTTCCAAATTGACCTAAAGGAGTGTTTTCTGATCAGGCATTCTATTTCCTATCGCAAAAATAAACTACAGCAAGCAGCTACAGTCTATGGTGGTTAAGTTGATATCAATGTATTTCAGTTGGAAGTCAGCTTGTGTTGGATGTTCAGCGTGCTGAGATGCCACTAATTTTTATTTAAGTATGGCTATACTACACCCCTGTGACCTCTGATAAAAATGCGGAAGGATTATTTCAGGAAAAAGTGTGAATACAATTATCATGACAAAGCACCAAGCATTGAGAAAACTTCAGGGTGGACAGCTGCACCATGTTTGAGAGGCTAAAAATAGGTATTGAATGAAGTACTATGTTGGTTTCACTATCAGTTTAAGGGTAGTGGTATTGCTACTAGTATTGTAAGTTTTTAAACTATAGCCAGTCCTACCAATGCCATTTTTTTCCTACAAGAATAATGCTCTCTCAATGGTTGGTGGCCAAGTTCCATTATACATGACTTCATATGTACTGTACCAATACAACATAATGGATAACTGCAGGCTGTTGGACATGTTTGTTGTATATCTGGTTTACAATGTTTACATCCAGCAGTATGTTCTGTTTCTTTGGTCCAGTTTATATGATGGATTTACCACTGACTCATAACCATCCGAACT